AAAAAAAAAAAAAAAAAAACTATATACACTGTCAATTTTTTGGATGTTGTACTATAGTTATGTAAGATGTAACCCTTAGGGCAAACTAGGTGAAGGTACACAAAACTTCTCTGTACTATCTTTGCTACTTCCTGTAAATTTATAAAAAGTTAAAAAGTGGGATGGGAGTGGGGGTCTCAAAAGAAAGAAAACCATTCCTTAGATTTAGGTGAAACCTGCCCCAGAGCCTCCCTTAGACCCTTCACGCTCTCTCCTTCTGGGCCCCCTAACCATACCTGCTCAGAGATTTGCAGACAGTGCACCTGTTCTTCAGGCTAACAGCCCAAGCCCCTCCCCCATCCCTGCAAATCTGTCAACTTTCACTTCCCAAATCCTTTGGAAAGGGTTTATCTTCCAGAGTCCAGAGTGCTGCTCTTGAAGATAGGAGGGACACTATTAATAGTTAAGCTGGGGCCACAGTGTGAACCACAGATATTCCCAGCATACTGGGGTGTGAAGACATCTGAGGGAGAATGGACATTGGGCAAGTGGAGGGGGCCAATTCTGTGGGCTGGCCTGGTCGCAGGAAGAACTGGGCGCCAGCTATTCCCACAGTCAGAGCCAGTCCTCCTCTCTGACTGTGGGATCCCGCCCCAGCCCTCACTGCAAGGAGGGAGCAACTGAGGCTGGGAGGGGAAGGAACTGGCCCGAGTTCAGACAAAAGGCCCCTAAAAATGCAACAACTTTGTCAAAGTGAAAATGGCTGCTCACAGTATCGTCAGCCTCAACTTCCCATTCAAAACCCCACAAAGAATCTATTTAAATAAAACTCATTATGAAAAGAGTAACTTGAAGAAAGTGCATATTTATGAAACATATTTATACCTTATTTAGTTTCAACATGGCCGTGAAACCTAAAGAGGTATTTGTGTATTCCTTAAGCTGTATTTTGCTTTATTTAAGGCAATTTGCACTTGAGTCCCTCCAAGAGAACAGCAGCTGATGCAAAGGGACCACAGATTTGCCACAAAGCGAACGAAAGCAGAGCCTCAAGGCCCCTTGCTTGCAGAGCCCCTTCATGGTCTTGCACCTAATTTTATCTGCAATTTTGTGTTCTTGCTCTCAAAGAGGGCCCCCTAAATTATAGAAGCCCCAGGCTCCACCAAACCTGATCTGCCCCTGGGAGGTTGGTTTTTACTTCTCCTTGGCTCCATATTTGGGGGACCCTGTGTCTGAGAGGAACCGTGGGCATCTCCATCAGAATAAGGAAGAAATGTCTACTTGCCTTGAGCTTCTCTTCGGCGTCCTCTATCTGGGCGATATTACCAACTTCCTGCTGCTTCTTGGTTGCCAACTGCTTTAAACATTCTTGGGTGAGTTTCTGTACAGGAGGAAGTTAGGAAAAAAGTCATAATGCTATCACTTTTGAGATAACAGGCCCCCTAACAGGGGTCATTTCCTTTCACCTTTTATTCTTTTTCAGCTGAGGTATCTGAGACTCAGAAGGTGAGGGGACTTATGCAAAGTCATGGGGCAAGCTGGAGGATGAGCTGGGACTAGGGCCCCTCTGCTCCTCAGAGGTCCACACCAGGTATTCCGCGGATCTTGATGTGCCCCCACACATTTTTTTTCTAGAACGAGTCTTGCTTGTGATCTGCTTATCCAGCCGCTCAAATAGGAACTGAAGGCAAGCAGCTTGGGGGCCAGGGAAGAGCATCCACTTATTGAGTGACTATTAACTGAGCACCTATTACATGCTGGGTCCTGTTTCAGGAGCTGTCCTCATGAAATGTACATTCCAGGGAGTCTGTGGCCCTCTGGCCCCGGACTGGGTGAGAGGGCCAGTGGGGTTCATGCTCCCTGATCCCTCCTACCTTCCATATCTCTGCTTTTTGAAATTATTGTTTTTCCAAAGGTGTGCTCTGCGTCCCCCTCCCCCACAGGTGTGACCTTATCTCCATCTTCACCTTTCTTACGGCTGGCCTTACACTCAGCCACCAGGCCCTGCCCCATTGACTGGGAGCTTCCTGAGGGCAGGCTTGCTCCATTCCTAGCTCCCCACAGGGACGGGGAATAGGGATTACCTGGGCTTGTTTGCTGAACTGAACAGAATTATCAGGGGCTGCCAGCTTCAAGCAGAGCCAGAAGTCCCCCAGCAACCTGTTACGAGCACAAGCCCCAGAGTCAGAGGAGTCCTAGGTCTGAGTTCCAGCTTTGTCCCCCCACCTCTCTCAACCTGTTTCCTCCGCTGTAAACATGGGGATAACCCCACAGGGTGGCTGCAGGACTAAATGAGAAGAGGCACACAGAATGCCTGGTAGACAATAAGTGCTCAATACATGTAGCTCTTATTGTGACTAACATCCCACGAGCATTTGCTACTGTGTGCAGTTTTACTCTAGGTAAGGGGTTGGGGGTGGGTGGGGGATGGTCATAACCCAAGTATACACCACGGTTTCAACTTCCAGGAGCATATCCTTGCCCTGTCGTGATTTCCAAGTGTTCAAGTTCAGCTCCTGTACCCCACTCAAGGATTACTCCGACCTCCTAGTGCCTATGCCCTCCAGCCACAGGTGCTTCTCCAGTCTCAGTGCCTGGTGACACCCTACTCATCTTTCAAAGCCAGTTCCAATGGCATCTCCCCCAAGAAGTCTTCCTGAGCTTCTTGTCCCCAGCTCTCACTGTCTTCTCTCTGGCTCCCACTGACCACTGCCTTGAACCCCTCAACTACAGTACTTATCACACTGTGTTGTCACTGTGTTCTCCCTCCAACCAGCCAGGGAAGGAATCAGTCTATTCCTTGAATCATGGCATAAGGTATGTGCTTGAATAAATGTTTGGTGAATGAAGGATGGATTGATGGATTGATGGATGAAGGGTGAATAGCTAGGTAAGTAAGTAGATGTGTGGATGCAAAAATGGGTACGCGTAATGTCAGCCTTAAATAACAAGATTCAGAAAATATGATTAAGTGTAGAGTTTATCTGAGCCCAAAGCTTGAGGATGGCTACCTAGGAGCATAAATTCAAGTTGCCCTGAATATACACTCCGATTAGCAGCAGTAACCAGTGGGTTTTTAAGGGAGAAAGAAGAGGCAGTAAATCCTTTTAAATGCTCAAACCGCCTGCTTTGGATCCTCTGAAGGATCTATAAAAAGCATCCCACCTTGTGGTCTAGTGGCTAAGACTCTGTCCTTCATAGCTGCTGCCCAGGTTTGATTCCTGGTCAGGGAATGACACCTATTTGTTTCGAATTACTTGTATGGGCCAGGCTTGGTGGCTCACGCCTGTAGTCCCAGCACTTTGGAAGGTTGATGCACAGGGTTCACTTGAGGCCAGGAGTTCAAGACTAGCCTGGGCAACAAAGCGAGACCCAATCTCTACAAAAAATAAGGAAAATTAGCCAGGTGTGGTGGCACGTGCCTGTAATCCCACCTACCTGGGAGGCTGAGATCCCCAGGAGTTTGAGGCAGCAGCGAGCTATGATCATGCCACTGCATTCCAACCTGGGCAACAGAGTAAGATCATGTCTCTTACAAAAAAAAAATTAAAAAATGTTAATATGTATAGCTCTTGGTTCTTGACCTTTTGGGGTACCCATTTGTTATTGATCCTTTTCCTTCACATGGAGAGCTTCTGATTTCCTGTCTTTTTTTTTTCTTTCTGTGGGTGTAGGGGTTTTTGAGCCTTTATGCACAGATGCACAGCTGAGAAGCTGAGATCCTAGAAACGATGGCTGTGCAGAAATGTGGATGGTTCTCCATTTGCAGCTAGTGAGACTTTCTTCGTGCCGTCTTTGGGATGGTTCTGGATCTTGTGAGGACTGCTTTGCACCTCTTTGGAGATGCCTAGTTCACCTTGGTTAAGTCATAACCTTGGTTTAAGGCTTCTTGGTTTTGGTGAATCGCTTGAAAAGGTATTTGGTTGAAAAGAAAAAAAAAGCTGGATATAAAGTATTTATAAAAGATGGCCTTCAGGCAAAGTAGCTTGTTTCTTTTTCAGAGCTATCCAGGCTGAGTTCAGGCACAGAGAGTGTTTTCTTTGCCCTGTTAATTAAAGGGCTTTACTCCCCCACCCCCAAGTCAGTAATCTAATCAGGAAATAAGCCAAATTGAAAAGACAACCTATCTGACTACACTTGTCTACAAAATACACCTTTCTGGCATTTAGCTGGCTATTTTGAAATTTACATCTATAATGAAATCTCTTATTTGTAAGGGTGTCTACCTCTGTGCAGCTGGAGGAGCAGGAGGGCTGAGTTTATGAATGAATGTCTCCAAAATCTTTCAAAAATCTTTTTCAGTAACTTACTGTTAAAGTCATGTCATTTTAAATTAAGTAACAGGTAATCCTAAAATATCTGAGTCATTTATATAGCATAGAAAAGCTAAATATATTTAAATTTGTCTATAAACAAAAAAATTGAGGAAACATCTTTCTAAAAATTATGAAATGGTATTCGTCTGCAAATACTGGTATAAAACAGTTCAAAGTTATTGACTTCCTAGGTTTTTCACTGGAAATTAGGGTTAACTAAGAGTTAAAATTGTAGTGTGTGATTAAAACTACTAGATATAAGAAAAACAATTCTATATACAGAGCGGAGAGAGAGAGTAAGATGTGTTTTTGGTAAAGAGAGTTGAGAGTGATTTTTCTTTTGCAGGAGAGGGAACTTTGTGTGGTCAAAATGATAAGGAAGAAAGGGAAGGAAATTTTTGTCCTAAGGTAGAATGCCAAAATAAAAGTCCAGGCCAAAACTGAAGGTTTAAGCAAGTTGTAGGAGGTTTGTGGAAGACTAATCTTGTGAAAGGCATTTTGTGTGTGATCGTGCTGACTAAAATTAGAAGGGAATTATTTATATGTTTTTCTAGAAATTGAGCATTAATATCAAAAGCACACCGATGCAAGGCCAGAGTCTGGGCCCCTGTGTAGAACCCACGGGGTTTTCTCAATGCATTGATCTGCTCTTTAACAGAAAATTACAAGGTTATAAAAGGTTTATGGAAATCTTATCTTGTGTGGTCAAAGCTGACTGAGATTGGATGATTGATAATATGCTAATATAAAAGTAAAATTTGGCTTACTCCTTTGAATAAGAATTTTGCGTAGTATTAATAATTGGTAGTAAAATACTCGTTTACCTTTTAAGTAAACTGCAAAAAAAGGGTGGGGGACAGTTTGCCTCATGCCGTATTTATCAGGTCTCTTGACTGGAGATTGAGTCTCCTTTTTCTGACCTGGGCCGGTTCACCTCTCCTTAGGCAACCAACTCCCGGGAGGTCACCATATTGATGTTGAACTTAATGCGGACACCCAATCGATCGGCATGGCGCACTACAGCCCAGAACTCCCGGGTTCAAGCAATCCTTCTGCCTCAGCCTCCAGAGTAGCTGGGACTCCTCGCGTGTGCCACGATGCCTGGCTAATTTTTCTATTTTTCCATTTTTAGTAGAGATGGGGTCAAGCTCTTGCTCATGCTGGTCTCTAACTCCTCAGCTCAAGCAATCCTCCTGCCTCAGCCTCCCAGAGTGCTGGAATTACAGGCATGAGCCACCTCGCCTGACCTAAGAATGTTTACTTTTGTAACAGGACACATTGGAGACACTGGTAATTTTACCAAGGCTTCGACTAAAATGGCATATTTTCAGATATGACCAGGCTGCTTTGAGGAATTCAGGTTGGCTTTATAGAGCCAATAAAAAGCCCCTTGGAAAGACTGGCCTGGTACCTGGTCTATGTGGTTCCTTTTCAAGGTTTCTGACCTGTGGTAAGTAAAGAATGTCACTTTCTGACAGGCCAGGAACCTCAAGACATTTTGGAACCTTAAGAAGAGAAGAATTCACCCAATGCATACAGGTATTGCAAGTACAGTCCGACGGTGAATCCTTGGCTTGGTTTCCTAGCCTTGAGGCTTTTGAAAGTCTAATCCAAAATTCCTTATGAAAGTTCTAGCAAAGCCAACTTGAGAAGAGCCTATATGGCCAGTCACTATTCTTGTTGCACTTTATGCCAATAATAAGGCCAAGTATAATACTAAAACTTATTATGCAAGTAACTTTGTCCTACTAAGATTTATCTTTCGTAGAAATGGGGAACTGGAAAAAGAAAAATTATGTTTCAGAAGAAAATTACAGCACACCTGTTATCAGATCCCAGCCCTGATCATTGCTTTTGAGTTTTTATTATTTTCCTACAATTTGGACTAAATACTGAATTATTTATTTAGCAGGCTAAGTTATTTATTTAGGCTACAACAAGGAAAGTTGTAGAACAAGTTTTACAAGCCAGTTTCCTGGGTTTTAATTTTATGATGTTTTTAGTTGACTCTCCAATGGAATAGGAGTTTTTTTTTTTTTTTGGTCTGGCATACAAATTCTCTTTTTGATTATAATCCTTATGTGCATTATATTTCTATTATGTATCTCTCGTTGTTTTACTTCTGAGGAAACTAAACTTGTGGCATTCCAAAGACCAAAGATAAGTCAAAAAGTGACAGCAGCTGTATAAATCAGTGATTTGACTGAGGTCTGTGATGCCACTCCCATTCAGCTTTGGGCACTCTTAAAATTCCTCACTGAGACATGTCCTCCGCCCAGGTGGAACAGGACCAGGTGGGAATGAGGCTTCCTAGTGACAGGACCAGGCTCCAGAACATAAAAGGAGCCCAAACCATGAGTTTGTCCACAAAGCTTTCTTCAAAAGACCTTGATGAAAAGGGGGAAATGACAAAAGAAAAATAGCTCAGAGCAGTGTGAGCCATGTCTACAAACTTTATCAGGCCCAGAGAGACCGGAGTATGGGACTTCAGTCTCGCCCCCTTCCCAACAATCCCCGGCCACATTCAGGTGTGGTAGGGGGAAATTGTTTAAAGCTATTTTGTTCCTGACTAGCAGCCTCACCCAATATTTTCATGTTTCTGGAATTTGTGATACAAAAAGCAATGTATAGCCAACCAATAGCTTATGATATTTTAATGCAAATTATTGGTAAACAACTTAAGAACTGCCTCTTCTTTTTTCCTTAAAAACCCACTGGTTAATTGGAGTGTATGTTCAGGGCAACTTGAATCTATGCTCCTGGGTAGCCATCCTCAAGCTTTGGAGCCAAAACCGTGAGTTAATCATATTTTCTGAATCTCGTTATTTAATGTTGACAATAGGTCAACAAAATGGACAACGGGGTGAGACCCTTGAGCCAGATCTCTGGGAAGTAGCCTAGGTAACTCTGAACAACACTTTTCTGAGAAGCTATTATTATTATTACAGCCATTTTATACATAAACAAAGGAAGGCTATAGAGGCAGGGGCAGACCTTGAACCCAGGACTCGAGCAGGCAGGCCCCCTCTGGGCCCATTTTCACCTTGGAGTTCCAAGGTTCTCACAATGTGGTGGTGATGTCATGTTGTGCAGGGGGAAAGGTCAGTTCATCACAGATGGCTTCCTGCAGGTGGAAGTGGTAGAATCAACAAGAGTCAGAGACAGGAAGGCCTGCCTGGCCCAGCCTTCACGACAGAGCCACAGAACAAGCCAGCTGCAGGGGTGGAACAGGAGCCCAGAGCCCATGGCCACCATTAGGATTAAGCATGGGTGAGGGCTCCAAGTTGAGAATGGCCCTTTGGGAGGCAGTTCTATGGGAGGCCTGGGTTCAAGGCCTCCCCTGCCTCCGTAGCCTTCTTGTGATCTAGCAAATGGCTGTAATGATAATAATACCGGCGCAGGCTGTCCAGAGCAAGCATGGGAGTGTCTGTGTGGAGGGGGAGGGGAGAGGGAGGTCGAGGTGACAGTTAGTCCTCGGTTCACAGTTCACAGCCCCTTTCTGTAAACTCCGGATGGAGTAAACCAGAGATGTGCGTGTGGCCATTTTCTAACAGGAAGGGTTTTCACCTCTGTTAACTAAAAGGCAAATTTTCACCCAGCCCAAGGGCAGTGTGGTGGGCCCGCCATGGTGGGACAAGGTCACTGACATCTGGGTGACCTGGGCTGACACTGACAGCCTGGGCTCCCAAACCCACCTCTTCTGAAAGCATACTGATGGCCTTGGCTCGCCGCCTGTGCCCTTCCTGGGCCTCAGTCTCCCGCTCTGAAATATCAGTTGACTCTTAGACGCACTCGGGGGCACCCTCTGTTTTCCAGGTTCTAAAGGGCACTGCAGTGGGACGCCACGTACGCCCCTCCTCCGTTGCCCCTGGGCTCGCTCCCCCACACCCCGCCCCTGTCCCCACCGTCCCCACCTGCACGTGCATAGCCTCCTCCAGCGCCAGGCCGACCGGGTGGCCGCGGTGCGCGCCCAACACCGGGCAAAGCGCGCACACGCAGAGGCGGCAGCGGCGACAGAAGAGCTCGACAACGCGGTCGCGATGCTCTGGGCAGCGCCAGCCGCTCACCTCCTCGGGCTCGTCGGGCCCCGGCCCCGGCCCCCCAGGCACCCCGCTCCGCTGCCCTGCGCCCGCCATGCATCCTCCCCGGCCTCGGTCTCCCGCGGCGCGGGGCGGGGCTCCGCCAGGAATCGAAACCTCGGCCGTGGGCGGGGTGGCTCCGGGAGGGCAGCTGGCGGATGGCGGCGTGGGGGCCGCAGCCCGCCCAGGGTAGGGTCAGGCCTGGAGCGTCCTCCGACCAGCGGGCTCGCCCCTGCTGGGCTGACTGGGAGAAGGTGGGTTTCCTGCTTAGGGACGCCACTTCAGGAACGCTCAGAAAACTGCAGCCTGTGCACGGGACCTAGGTTGGCTGTGGCCTTCCCGGAGGGTGTGCATTAGCGGCACTTCTTGCTTCCCCTTGATCCTCTTTTGCCCTTTCCCCAGGAAAGATAACCATTCCCACAGTTGGGGGTGGGGCGGGGAGCTGGGCACAGCGGCTGGCTTACCCCTGTAATCCCGGAATCCTGGCTCTTTGGGAGGCCGAGGCGGGAGGATCGCTTGAGCCCAGCCTGGGCAACAAGTGAGACCCCGTCTCTATAAAAAATTTAAAAAATTAGCCGGGCGTGGTGTGCGCCTGTAGTCCCAGCTACTCGGGAAGCTGAGGCAGGAGGATTGCTTGAGCCCAGGAGTTCGAGGCTGCAGTGAGCTATGATCGTGCCGCTGCACTCCAGCCTGGGTGACAGAGCAAGACCCTGTCTCAAAAACAAGCAAAAGCCCTGTCAACCTAAAACAATAAGGGAGATTCTCAATTCTAGAGGGGCTAGGGGTTCTCACTGTTTTGCCCAGGCTGGTTCTGAACTCCTAGCCTCAAGGGATTCTCCTGCCTCCACCTGCCAAAGAGCTGGGATTACAGGTGAGCCACTGTACTTGGCCAAAGCAGAGGTTGTTTGTTTGTTTTGTTTTGTTTTGTTTTGGGACCAGCTTGGGACTACCATGACTGGCTAATTTTTCTATTTTTAGTAGAGATGAGGTCTTGTTCTTGCTCAGGCTGATCTTGAACTCCTGACCTCAAGCAATTCTCCTGCCTCAGCCTCCGAGAGTGCTAGGATTGCAGGTGTGAGCCACTGTGCCAG